AAGTTTGAACTTAATCGGTCCATGCATGTTCGAGATACAGGTGATCACGGACGGACGGACGGACGCACACAGGGCAAAACATAAGTCCCCGTTTTCGGACTGCGTCCGAGCGGGGACTAATAAGGAAATCCTAACATAATTGTCTTTGAATGGATGAAACAAAGACATCTATATGTTAACTGCCAAGTGACGACAGAGAAAATACTTGTGTTACTGACTACATTTCCCAAAGCATTTTCAACACATTGTCTTTCACCAAACTGAGCTAAATTTAAAATTCTTGAAAATATTGCAAAATGGACTAATACAAATACAAAACTCCTTAGGAATTTATTAGGATTCCAAATAATACACCAATAAGAAAGGATCCAGAGAAACCAATGTACAATAGTGCAAATCAGAGAATTATGGGTACTATGTAGTGCAAGTTACTATCATCCTACTGTAATTCTATGAGACATCAAACTCAGTCAACATGAACTAAACAACAAACGCACAGATAAAATGTCAAAGTTTAATAGCAAAAAATAAAGTTTAACAAAAGTCTACAAGTAACACTTGATATAGAAATTACTTTTTTATTTTAATTGGATAACATACCTAGATTAAAGTAAGTTACAAAGCCACCAACAGTTAAAGGCTAGTTCACAGTGGCAATTAGTTGACCAATGGGAACAGGGTATAGACACTGTAAATCAGACCATTTTTTCTGCTATAACCTTTCACACATTGATAGCAACTGCGGGGATCAAAGTCGGTCACCATCTTTAAAATTTCGAATAAGTGTTCACTACTACAAAACTATTGCAGTGTGCGTAAAATTTGTTAAATCTTGTCTCTCCCCAAAACAAAATAAGTTACCGATACTCTAAATTCTTGTGAAGTTTACAGGCGTACATTTCCATTTTTTGTTATTTATAATCGTGGTATACGTCACACTTGGCCTAAATCAAACATGATAAGGTGCGAGGACTGTATCACAAAAATCAGATGATTTTGATGGCAATAAACCACAACTTCAATGCTTTTTTCTATTACCGGGGGTATATGTAATTTAAAACAAAATATCTGTTGAACATTCAACTAAATGTTACACCTTTCTAAGAAAGAGGTTACTATGACAACGGTAGATACCATAAATTTTTGAGGAAATGGTCCACACAAATCTGATTTCAAATCTGGCTGTTGTAAACATTTTTTTCATCAGGTTTTGGGTCATTAGCTCCAGATTGGATATATGTGAATATGAATATTATAGCAGTGAGTTTATCATAATTATGATAATAATTTGTGTATGTGTGGTGCTTTCGTCCACAAAAGATCAAAATACACAAACTAGAAACAAAATAAAGTGAATAAAAGACAAAAATAGAAGATTTAATAATGATAAATATATCCAAGTTTGAAGCTCATCAGATGAAAGTTTAATAGCATGACCACAAACAAATGTTAACGACGATAGCAGCGACAACGACGACATGAACCCCATTGTAAACTTTGAACCTGCTTTATATCGAGAAATTTCTACATCGAGTTAAAAACTTGACGCCATTTTGAACACAATTGTTATGCAGATTATTAAACCTTTAAATGTTATAATGTTTCCTGCATGATATCTGAGAATAACTATGTGAAAAAGTTGAGTAATGCCCGTCCTTACAGCGCAGTGACGTGAACTAAAACACTCAGCAGTTGGAATTATGCGTTTTTCAGCTTTACAACGATGACGACATGGCTGTTTCCCTTACTGAAATGCAACCGTTCATTTCTTTGAGCTTCTGGGGTCCTTCTTTTGTATTTTTCTTGGAGGCCCCCACTTGAGACTCGATGTATCTACAGTTAGTCTGGGTTTCTTGTACTGTGCACTCTTTAGATGTTCTTCCACTAGTTTAGGCGTTACGCAAATCACATGTTGTCCTTTCCAATACTTCACCATATTGAGGGACTGTAAAGTGCTGATAATGTCTGGCTGTGTTATGCTTGTCATTTGACTGTGAAATTAAATTATCAACATCAGAAAAATCAGACATGCAACATTAAAATGAAATTGCACTATGTGTCAGCACTAGAACTTGCAATTTGCACTCACAAAAATAAAAAAAGTCAGGAGAGACAACAGTGACACTCAATGTCCAGAACTGTCGCTTGGCACAAAAAAAAATAAAAAAACAAACAAACAAAAAAACATTCAAATGGAATCAACACTATTTTTGAACGTCAAGCAGCATTAAATAATGCGACTAATTATTAGTGTTTGATTTGAAAAAAAAAAAATTAAATATGGCAAGATATACTGTTAAATACTTTATTTTCGTTGGAATTAATTTTCGCTGAAAAGGCTTTTTGGGTGTTTTGTATGGAATTTATTTTCACACGTTTTTTGATGAGTTGAATGTAAAATATATTCACTGGATTTTATTTTCACTGAATCAGCCCTTCAGTGGAAAATAAATTCCAATCAAAAATAAAGTATTTTACAGTAGTATAATAAGTCAGATATAAAGTGACATGTCGGACACTTATTTACAAAACCTCGTTCTCAACTGTGCACACTGCCAGAGTTGCGACAGGTCATTTCTATTATTTGAAGAAGCATGCAAGCCTAAACTATTTTACTTTGTTGCCAGATTACATGGCCTTTATTGCTAAAGTTGCTCTTTAATATTCAGGTTGCCTAAATTATTAATTTATTTATGAATAATTATTAGCATAATTGTTTACCACATATGTACAGTAAATATTCAACAGCAAAAAAATATTACACCAATATTTAAAAAAAATATACATGCCATGATCCCAGACTGGTTAAACAAATATCCAAACTCGAAAAAGATCAAATAAAAACTGTTTTAGTTATTGTTACATATTGTGAACAGATATTTTTCAGAAGTCATTTTATATACATTCTCAAAACCCACACACATCTCTGAATCAATAAATATATATGTACAAACCTCAAATCTTTGATTGACAGTGTGCCACGGAAATCTCGTAATATTTCTAACAGAACCCATGACCAGTAACTACGATAACTGAGTTTCCCAAGATCAGAAAGCGGCTTCTCAGGAGATCCTACTGTATTTTCTGCTTTAGATAATTCGTAACCTGAAATGATCAGATGTTATCGAGTCAGAAAAACATACTGTCCCAGGCATCACAAAAATGGATGGTCCCTACACCAACCCTGTGGCTGAGACAACTTTCACAATATCAAAATGCCAATAATTATTAATTCTTCTTTATCAAGAATTTTACATCCAGCGGATGAATTTTACACTCAGGAAGAGATCATCTCCATTACAGTCACATAGACCCATCCACCATCATCTTTCTCACTCAGAGACCATCACAGAGAGACCATGTTCACCTGAAACCAAACTAGTAACACTCGCTTATAGTGACACTCACAACATCACAGAATGCCAATAATGTATTAGATAACCATTCAATGTGAGGAGCTGTTTTGTAAAGATTATCATAGCTTGTGGATTTAATTACTTACTAAATGCTATTAAAAACTTTCCATATCCTTTCCTTTGGAATGGTGGCAATGTCAAAATACAGGCAACATTATTGCCATCTGGGGATTCTTTTTCCTAAAATAAAAAAAAAAAATGACACAGTCCCTGTTGGTGATTGTGTGATCTTGTATAAGCTACACTAAAGACATCCCAAAGAAAGGGGTTAATTAGGAAAGAAACAATCTCATGCAATTGCAAAAGAAAGCATTGACCTATTTAAACATGTCAATTAAAGTTGGTGAGTTTAATTCAGTAGTGTGGTGTTACAGTTATTGCTGGTTGTATTGCGGCACTTACACAACTATCTACTATGACTGACCCTCATATGACAGATATACTACAAACTGGAGTCAGGTTATTTGTGCATTTCGGTCAAGAACGGTCAAAGCATGTCAAAGACACAGCCCTGAAACAATATTCGTTAAAAACAAAATGACCAGCCATGAATTTTGAATCTAACTTGAGGAAAAATAACCTGAATCAAGGTCTCATCATGTTCAATGTACATACCAAATTTGAATATAATATGTCAGTACACAAGGAACCCATAAGTTAAAGCGGGGGAGTTGTCACTTGCACATGTGTTAGATGGCCATAGGGTATCGTTGTTTACAAACAAGTGTCTACCCATGAGCCTTTGTGTTTTTAGCATGTGTTATCGTCGCTTGGGACTGAAATTCCCACGCGTACGCAGGTGAAAACCCTCCTGTTTTAAGGCCAATTGGTGCCAGTGTCTTAAAGAAGACATTTTTATAAAAAATCTACCTTAGAAAAATAGCCAACCAAGTGTGCCCCATACTTGTCAACTTCTGTTAAAATATAAAACAGGAACGGCTCCACGTCAAAGTACAGAGTCTTATGATCCAGGAATAGTTTGGCAAGTAAACACAAATTCTGGCAGTAAATCTAAAACAGACAATGAGATATTGGTTATTCATTACACGGTATTTGCTCTATTAGTAGTGCATGCGCTTAAATAAATTAGTGGCATTTCCATGGTCAAAATAAGTGATATTTAAATGATGTGCTTCTAATAGAACAAATACAGTAAAGTTTGATGAAGATTAGATTAAAATATTTGGGAATATGAGAGATCTAATTGAATGTGAGAAAACTTCTTTTGAATACAGTAAAATGACTAGTTTTCACTGGGTTTAAATTTCACTGATTTACCATTCATGGTTTTATCATTTAGATGATGTGTTCTATGCTAAATTTCACATATTCGCTGGGTTTTAATTTAGCACATTTTCCAGTCAGCCAAATAAGCAAAATTTAAACCCAGTGAATAATTAACCCTTTTACATTACAAGATTCAGTCAAAATATGGAACATACAAACTTGCAAAATTTCAGACAATTTGACCATTAATAAATAACAATTGCAATGTCGTATTACCTCTATTAGAAGCACATCTCTAATATAAGTGCACACAAATCTAAAATTGCATCGTAGTAGACTGTAAAACACTTTATTTTCGCTGAAAAGACATTTTGGGTGTTTGTATGATCTTTATTTACACCAATTCACTCTGCGAAAATAAATTCAGTACTACCGTAAAAGCTCAATCAATTCGGCCACTCAAATAGTTCGGCCACCTATTTTTTGCGTCATGGTTAATTTTAAAATGTATCTGTTTAGTTCGGCCATCTGTCCAGTCAGTCTATTGTTTGTATTCAATTAGTTCACCCGGTGATGACACCGCCCGATTTTTACGTCACTCTCTCAACAAAGGTATATTTTCACACATCTATCACGTAAATACAATGTACATGTATAAGCATTTACATCCATGGTATAAGCAATCGGGATATCCGCCAGATGTGCAGTCATGGTGTCAACCGTGGTTGTACAAAAGACGTGTGAAATATACTCTGTTGATTGTCATTACAAATTACCCAGTACATCAGTTGTAAATAATCGCTAAGAAAATTCTCACCACGACGCCAAAAATATCGACAACGAACAAATATTTTAAGTCATTGCTAGCAATCACTGACGAAACGAAGCTCCATGGTTTAGGGACAACAAAATTCAGGCCGACACTTGATTCTCGTCTTTGGAATTTCAAGCAAGTCATACAAAGTCGCAAATGTGTTACGTGAAAGCGTCATTATTATTGGACGTAGTTTTGTTTACACAGTCACGCAGCACGTCAAAATATCTTCTTTTTTTCGGTTGACCCAAATAAAATTATCTGCTGGATTGTTTCAGCACAGTCGTTTCAGTAATGTTCGAAACATTGTCCTGCAGAGTTGTTTGTTTAAAAGTCAAGTAGATTATTAATGTTAATGGGGTAAAAAATTAATTAATGCCGACTTGCAAATTGTATCGTCTTCGGCATTCCAGTAAGTCGATACAAAGTCGCCAATGTGTAGCGTGAAAGCGTCATTTTTATTGGACATGGTTTTGCAACAGGGAACGTGAGCTGGGTTTAGACCGTCGTGAGACAGGTTACTTTTACCCTACTTTACAAACTAAAAATTGGCATTCCAGCACAGCA